ACAGACCAATATCCCTGATGAACACGGATGCAAAAATTCTCAACAAGATACTAGCCAATAGGATCCAACAACATTAAGATTATTCACCATGACCACGTGGGATTTATGCCTCGGATGCAAGGCTGGTTCAACACTCATAGAGCAGTCAACATGATTGATCATATCAACAAGAGAAAAAAAGAAGAACCATATGATCCTCTCAATAGATGCAGAGAAAGCATTTGACAAAAGACAGCATCCATTCCTGATCAAAACTCTTCAGAGTGTAGGGATAGAGGGAACATTTCTCAGCATCTTAGAAGCTATCTCTGAAAAGCCCACAGCGAATATCATTCTCAATGGGGAAACACTGGGAGCCTTTACCCTAAGGTCAGGAACAAGACAGGGATGTCCACTCTCCCCACTGCTATTCAACATAGTACTGGAAGTCCTAGCCTCAACAATGAGACAACAAAAAGACATTAAAGGCATTCAAATTGGCAAAGAAGAAGTCAAACTCTCGGGATCCCTGGGTGGCGCAGCAGTTTGGCGCCTGCTTTTGGCCCGGGGCGCGATCCTGGAGACCCGGGATCGAGTCCCACGTCGGGTTCCCGGTGCATGGAGCCTGCTTCTCCCTCTGCCTGTGTCTCTGCCTCTCTCTCTCTCTGTATGACTATCATAAATAAAAAAAACATAAAAACTTAAAAAAAAGTCAAACGCTCGCTCTTCACCAATGACATGATACTCTACATAGAAAACCCAAAGCCTCCACCCCAAGATTGCTAGAACTCATACAGCAATTTGGTAGCGTGGCAGGATACAAAATCAATGCCCAGAAATCAGTGGCATTTCTATACACTCAATGAGACTGAAGAAAGAGAAATTAAGGAGTCAATCCCATTTACAATTGCACCCAAAAGCATAAGATACCTAGGAATCAACCTAACCAAAGAGGTAAAGGTCTATACCCTAAAAACTACAGAACACTTTTGAAAGAAATTGAGGAGGACACAAAGAGATGGAAAAATATTCCATGCTCATGGATTGGAAGAATTAATGCTGTGAAAATACAATGTTACCCAAGGCAATTTACACATTTAATGCAATCTCTATCAAAATACCATGGACTTTCTTCAGAGAGTTGGAACAAATCATCTTAAGATTTGTGTGGAATCAGAAAAGACCCGAAGAGCCAGGGAAAATTAAAAAAGAAAACCATAGTTGGAGGCATCACAATGCCAGATTCAGGTTGTACTACAAAGCTGTGGTCATCAAGACAGTGTGGTACTGGCACAGAAACAGACACATAGATCAATGGAACAGAATAGAGAACCCAGAAGTGGACCCTGAACTTTATGGTCAACTAATATTGGATAAAGGAGGAAAGACGATCCACTGGAAGAAAGACAGTCTTTTCAATAAATGGTGCTGGGAAAATTGGACATCCACATGCAGAAGAAAGAAACTGGACCATTCTCTTACAGCAGACACAAAGATAAACTCAAAATGGATGAAAGATCTAAATGTGAGACAAGAATCCATCCAAATCCTAGAGGAGAAAACAGGCAACACCCTTTTTGAACTTGGCCACAGCAACTTCTTGCAAGATACATCAATGAAGGCAAGAGAAACAGAAGCAAAAATGAACTATTGGTACTTCATAAAGATAAGAAGCTTTTGCACAGCAAAAGAAACTGTCAACAAAACTAAAGACAACCTACAGAATGGGAGAAGATATTTGCAAATGACATATCAGATAAAGGGCTAGTTTCCAAGATCTATAAAGAATTTATTAAACTCAACACCAAAGAAACAAACAACCCAATCATGAAATGGGCAAAAGACATGAAGAGAAATCTCACAGAGGAAGACATAGACATGGCCAACAAGCACATGAGAAAATGCTCTGCATCACTGGCCATCGGGGAAATACAAATCAAAACCACAATGAGATACCACCTCACACAAGTCAGAATGGGGAAAATTAACAAGGCAGGAAACCACAAATGTTGGAGAGGATGTGGAGAAAGGGAAACCCTCTTGCACTGTTGATGGGAATGTGAACTGGTGCAGCCACTGTGGAAAACTGTGTGGAGGTTCCTCAAAGAGGTAAAAATAGATCTGCCCTATGACCCAGCAATTGCACTGTTGGGGATTTACCCCAAAGATTCAAATGCAAAGAAACGCCGGGACACCTGCACCCCGATGTTTCTAGCAGCAATATCCACAATAGCCAAACTGTGGAAGGAGCCTCGGTGTCCATCGAACGATGAATGGATAAAGAAGATGTGGTCTATGTATACAATGGAATATTACTCAGCCATTAGAAAACACAAATACCCACCATTTGCTTCAACGTGGATGGAACTGGAGGGTATTATGGTGAGTGAAGTAAGTCAATCGGAGAAGGACAAACATTATATGGTCTCATTCATTTGGGGAATATGAAAAATATTGAAAAGGAATAAAGGGGAAAGGAGAAAAAATGAGTGGGAAATATCAGAGAGGGAGATAGAACATGAGAGACTTCTAACACTGGGAAACGAACAATGGGTGGTGGAAAGCGAGGTGGGCAGGAGATGGGGATGACTGTGTGAGGGGCACTGAGGGGGGCACTTGATAGGATGAGCACTGGGTGTTATGCTATATGTTGGCAAATTGAACTCCAATAAAAAATAAAAATAAAAAAAGAGAAACAAAATCATGCATGCATGTTAAAACAAATCCATAATACTCAAAAACCAGAAAGAACTCAAATATCCATCAACTGGTGAATGAATCAACTATAGTGTATCTATACAATGGAATAGGAGTCAGGAACAACAAAAAATAAGTCTTTGATACATTCAATAACATGATGAATTATGTTATCAAAATCTATTGTAACATGAAAACAGCCAGACAAAAAGAATGCATACTGCATAATTCCATTTATATAACATTCCAGAAAAGACAAAATTATAGGAATGTAACAGGCGCTGGGGTTGCAATGAACTGAATGTTTGTGTCTCCTCAAAATTCATATGTTGAAACTACCCTTCAATGTATTAGAAGGCGTGGCCTTTGGGAGATAATTAGCATCAGATGGGTTCATAATGGTGGAGCCCTCATAAACGGGATTACCTTTGAGAAACAATTTTTTCCTTCCAGGGCCTCTATGGTCAGATAGGTGTAAATAGAGCAACTGAAGCTCAATTCACTTGTTAGAGGTTCCCTATATTCCATTACTAAGAGCTCCCTGTGTAGCTTGGCCTTCTGCTCCTGCATTCCATTTCCCAGAGTTAAACATCCTGCTTTGGTCAGCATTACCTTGTGTTCTCTTTGACTCTACTTTACTTTGGATTTTAATTAATTTTTATGTGTAGATTTGTATGTATGGGGCCATTGAATTACCTAAGTCTATCTTACTATTTCACTATTTTTCCTTTCTGAACTCAAACCCACTCAGATCAGCTAAAGATCACTTTTCCTCAGACACTCCATTAACTAGCTCAACATGTCACCCTGTATTTAACTGTGGGTTAAGATCCCTGTCCCAAATCAGGCTGAATATCTCTAAATCTACTTTGACTTTGAGAAGTAGGTACTTGTATGGCAAGAAAAACAAGTTTGGGAACGCTTCCTGGCCCTGTTGTTTTGCTTCTCATCTTATATTTGCCCACTGCCTCCATGTTGCCCTCTCAAACCAAGAGTGGCTTGAAACTTATGGAGCTTTTATTGGCACTGAAAAAATGGTGGACAAAGGGGCTGAGGTAAGAAATACATTTAGGGATAAGCCAACTTTAGGTAGTATAGTGTCGGGATTAGGATCATTTGCTTAGGAGTACAGGGTTTGAATTCTGGTTTTGCCTCTTACTAGTTATGTGATCTGAGATATGTAAATGTCTTATTGCCTCAGCTTCTGCTTTCATAAAATGCATCTGGTAATGTCTACTCCATATAGAGTCAGCATAGTGTGGTGATTAGAAGCATGAACTCTGCCTGAGTTTGAATTTTGGTTTGCCATTTGGCCTTGGGAAAGTTACTTAACCCCTGTGTAATGGCCAACTTCTATATCTCTGTAAAATTAGGGTTCTTAATGGCTATCAAAATAATAGTACCTGTCTCATATGAAATGGTATTATTTCTTATTTGAGGGTCCTGAATATTCATTTAGCTGCATTCTCGGAGAAGACCAAAATAAAACTAAAGAGGGATGTGATTCCTGACTCTAAAAGGAGAAATCCAAAAAGAGCTAGAATGTAGGATTTTGATGGCAAAAATAACCCCTTGTATGTGTGTGTGTGTGTGTGTGTGTTAAAGAAATAAACACTGAATTGTAGATGACAGAAAATGTAGGATTAATAGGTTCTCTTTACTCCCATCCAAGAAATCTATTTAATAAAAATAAATAAATAAAAAGAAAAATAAAAGTGGGAGCCCGGTATGCTGGGTGTGCCTGGGTGTGCTGGAATGGACCCCCTAAAGTGGCAAAGGGAATGAGGGGTACTAGGACAGCAGAGCTCAGCCCACTTGGAGAGCCCAGCCCTGACGGGACAGACAGGCTGCATCCAGGAAAGGAGAGGATTGAGGTTGGGGGTTTAAGGATCTGCTTCTGTTCATCAAATCCAGTGCAAAACATTGTCAAAGGAAACATTGGAGATTTTGAGAATCAATATTATAAGACAGTGAAAGTAGGTTTTGGTAAGTTTGGAAATTTCTCATGGAATTAATGATAAGTATATCAAGGAAAAGAGGCTCTCATAGTCAAGCATTTTCCCACTGTGTTAATATCAGGAATAACTTTACTTATCTGTCGCCACATAATTTAGATCATCTGTAAAAGACAAGCATCATGCAAATGAAAACTAATATGATGAAATCCTACTTTTCATTGTGATGAGTCAGAGAATATCTAAATTTGAGCAAATGCTCCATTAAGAATGAGTTGCTCATAATTAAGTAAAATGTTTACTCAAGTTTATTGAATAGCATTAGATTAATAAGCATTAAGAATCAGGTACCAGAGACTAAGAAAAAAAGTTTTTGCAAAAGATGTGAGTAAAAAAATTTCATCAAAGCAAATGTATGAGTACACCTGAATATCAGCTTTTAAATGCTGTTCATGAATATTCTGTGAACTTAACTCTGGGGATCAATTGAGTGCTATTTATTTTTGTCTACGGCAGTAAATTTCATAAAAGAACTCTTTAAAGGTAGGACCCCATTTCTCTCAATAGTGAGCTTTCAAATGGAAGATCTCTACTATGAGAGACCTCTGTCTCATAAAGTTCTGTGGGTTTCCTAGGCAAGTTTCAAGTCCCTGATGGATGTCTACTTTTCTTGTAAAATGATTGAAGTGAATTCCATCATGTCCTTCTTAACTCAAGCCACATCTTCAGATTTGAGGTTTAATTTTTTATTCCCTCATCTTCTAGGAGAATTTAGCACTAAACAATAGGTAAACTATTAAAAGAAACCTACGTGATTTATTACTAAGTAACTATCCTCAAAGAAACTTTCCTCCATGATGAATAAGAATGCAAAGCCCAAGTATATAGGGTACTATATTTTTTAGAAATCCCAACTTGACCCCATCAGCTTCTGTAGGGCTATTTTTAGATGTATTTTCATGCTTGCTTATATGGGGAAGTTCTTTTTCTTGGAAAGATTCATCAAAATACAAAACTAAAACCTAGAGCAGGTTCAGGGTGGAATACAGGTGTCCTTAGTGAGGATATTGGCATCAGTTGATTCTTTTCTTCAGCACTGCAGCTGGTTGAGTTGAAGTAGCATTTTTTTCTGTAAAAAAAAAAAAACAAAAAACAAGAGAGTTATGTTTAGAGAAAGTCTTACTAGAAACTGGCTTTTCCTTAAAGATGTCAAAAAAGGAATATTGTACCTATTGGCTCCCAATTTAGTTTATTGAGCTACTGAAATCGGTTACCCTTACTCATTTGAAAAGTAATAGTGAAAAAAGGTATTTGCCTTAGGAATTTCTCATAAATATAAAATTGTCTCCACTTTGCCCATTAAAGGGAAAACCTTCAGTACATATTGGAACCTGAAAGCCCATGTTATGCCTGACTTACTTCTGTAATATTTTGTTTAGTTTTTGCGTCCATTTGATGGGAGGGTTCAAGCATACAACTGACTTATTCTTCTTCCAAACTCTGGGGGAAAAGAAACAAAAATAAAAATAAAGCATCGTTATATTTTAGTCAATCCTACACTTAAAGAGAGTTAAGTATAAAAACATTCCTGGATGAAGTGAAATTGGAGGTGGGCATTTTAGCATCTGAAGTATGTGATTTACAGTGTGAAATCTGAGGAATGAGGAAAACACCATTTGCAGAATGGTCGTGTGTGAGCCAGTGGAGCTGAAAATGAAGTTTATAGAATCTCACATGTCAGGGGTTAATGCTTTGCTGACAGTTTTTACATGAATTGGAGGTGGATCAAATAGCTGACTCCAAGATTGGCTCACTTTGAAATCTATATCACAATATCTTCAAAATGCATTTGTCCATTGAGCTTGGGAGAACAAAATAAATTATAGAAAACACTCTCTTGAGAAAATTTTATTTGAAAAAAAATTCAATGAAATTTAATGTAGGAGAGTGACATTTGCATTTTGTTGAACCTCTAGTTAGTGAGTCTTTCACTGCTGTAAGAGATTCAACAACAACAAAAACAACAACAATAATTAATAGCTAATATTGATCAGGTGCGTATAGTGTGTCAATTGCTATGCTCAGCAGGTAACATAAATTATCTCAATTTCACACAAATCCTGTACAAGAGAACTATTATTTCCTTGCATTCATATGAGAAACTTGAGGTTTAGAGAATTTAAATAGCTTTTCCAAAACTACACAACAAATGCAATGGTAGAGCAGCATCCAAATGAAGGATACCTGCCTCCAGAACCCACACTTAGCCACCAATATACATGGGCAGAATCTGAATGGTTATCAGTGCTGGACACAGTGCCAAATGTTTTACCCGCAGTGGAAGCCATGAGGTCTCCCAGGTATAGCAATCTGGGACACTCAACTCTCTATCGGGATGGACTTTGAACAAAACAATTTCTTCATATTTACCTTAGTTATGAAATAACAGATAGCAAGGATCCACCCATCTAGCTTTGAAACTCTACCCTAGTAAATGGATCTTAGAGAGGTCAGAGACCATAGCACTGTTAGATTCTTGAGCAGAACCTTCCAAATCAGTTTCTAAGTTTATGATGGAAAATAGATTTCTGACCATCTGAACTCACAATATTTTTATCCAATTGCTATGAGTTTCTCATAATTTCCAGGTTTTGTTTCCATATCTGATTAAAATTCAGAAACAAATTTGGTGAGAGGATTTAAAATCAAATTTAGTTAGAACCTTTATTGGTGAAGACATTAGGAAAAGTATAATGCCTTTTTAATGAAAATTTTGCATACATATTTTTAATATCCCACATTTCTTTTTTATAAGTTGAATACAACTAGTGCAAGAAAGACCCATAGCAAAATGGGACAAACAAAAAGCAGTTGCTTACAAATGTATCAAAAGTCTAAAGAAGTCCAAAAGAAGAGCTGCTAATGAAAATGAAGTCAGGGATGCCCTAAGAAAGATGCTTTAACTAATACTTCAAGGTATTGTCACAGGTGGTGACAATATGGTTCATGATAGATATAGGAAGGAGAAATCAAAGTTCCAAGTAGTGATACACAAAAGATCTATGGCTTTATTTAAAATATTAAGTGTAACAATCCAACATTGCTTGTACCTCTATTCTATGCTAGGAAAGGGATAAAGCACTGGGAGGAGAGAAACAAATAAATCTGATCCCTGTCTATAGAGAACTTATTTTGTGGTGGGAGTGAAAGACAGAGAGAGAGAGAGAGAACCACAAACCTGATTATTTCAATATAGTGATGCTATAATAATCACAGCTAACATTTACTAAACATTTATTACATTTATTACTGTGATTTATTACTGTGCCGGACATTTTACTAGGGGCCTTATATGCAATGTGTAAATTCTCATTTGATGTGCCATGTGCTATGATAGAAGTATCAACAGATTGCTCTAAAGTACTGAAAAGGAAGGGTCACAGAAACAACATTTCAGTAAAAGAAAATACCTACTGAATTTCTTGCAATCATTACTGTCCCCTTAGCCTAACTCTTCAATCAAAGATGATCTTAAAGCTAAAGGACGCGTCTATAAAACAGATGTTTGTTTTTTTTGTTTTTTTTTTTATAAATTAATTTTTATTGGTGTTCAATTTACCAACATACAGAATAACACCCAGTGCTCATCCCGTCAAGTGTACCCCTCAGTGCCCGTCACCCATTGTTTGGACTAAGAACTATTGTGGATACTTATTTTCTTGCTCTTTAACTTCTGGGGAACAAAGTGTTTACTTCTGCTGGCAATTTGAATTTGGTAGAGGAGAGAAGAGGCTTGGTGGGGTAACACCTGGTAGAGTCCTGGTTCTGTCCCTTTCTAGTGATATGCCTTAGTTAACCTCCCTAAGTCTCAGTTTCTGCTTCTATAGAGGAGTGATAACAGTAGACATAACTTAATTGGGCTGTTAAAGGACTAAGATGGGTGAATGTGCACAAAGCACTTAGGACCCCTGCAAAGTAGGTACTTAATATTACTGAGTCTTATTATTATCTTAAGAATTGTTAGCAACCCTCAGAGTAAATCACTTTGAGATTCTTGCATAAGAATACTATGCATATACCTGAAACTAATGCAATATTGTGTGTCAACAATACTTAAAAAATACTATGTGGTTGGGCAGCCTGGGTGGCCCAGCGGTTTAGTGCCGCCTTCAGCCCGGGGTGTGATCCTGGAGACCCGGGATGGACTCCCACATCAGGCTCCCTGCATGGAGCCTGCTTCTCCCTCTGCCTCTCTCTCTTTTTCTCTCTCTCTGTGTCTGTCATGAATAAATAAATGAAATCTTTTAAAAAATACTATATGGAAACATTTGATCTGATTTTCTTTTGTGTGTGTGTGTGTCTTTTTTTTTATTTAAGTTCGATTTGCCGACATATGGTATAACACCCAGTGCTCATTCCATCAAATGCCCTCCTCAGTGTCCGTCACCCAGTCAGCCCATCCCCCCGCCCGCCTCCCCTTCCATAACCCTTTGTTCGTTTCCCAGATTTGATCTGATTTTCATGGGGAGAATAGAATAACATACATTTTTCTCCTGCAACTTACATGATTTCTCTTTTTGGGCACCCATTCCCAGGAGGGAAGATCTGAAGCCTTTCAATGAGCTGGATGGGAATAATGCCTGAGGTCTCTTGGATGCATTTACACTTTAAATTTGTGTTGTAGGCCTCCAGAACACCTGCAAACACAATCAGATATTTTAATCCCTTTGGTATAATTTGAATTTAATTACTAATCTTTCATATAGAGCATATGAAGATTTAAACATTTTAAGTCAGCGCTTTCACCCAGATGCTTTTAGTTTGTGTATTTCTGCCTGTCTTGGTTTATTTTCAAATATTGTCTACCAAAATCTTAAAAATAAAATCAGCTTTCTAAAAACATAACACCTATTGAAATTAGTGATAGTGTTTACTGGTGCTCAGGTAATTATCTAAATAATAAAATTTAAGAACCACCACTATGGGGACTTAAACTCAGTTTAATTAATACAGTGTAAAGTCAACTGATCTTCCCTCCAAACACATAAAAACCAAAGATATGAATTCCTTACAGTGTCCCCAGAGCAATAAGAAGCTGTAAGAGAGTTCTTGTTCTTATCATGTTCAAATCAACCCCTCTCCCCCGTCTCTCTGAGGAACTTACACGGAAGATATTTTTTGTTTTTGTATAATATGCTGGTCCTCCATATGTTGCAAATCATTACCAACCAAAGGCCAATAATAAAAATTCAAGATTATTTTATTCACAACACAGGTCATTAGTACTAGATACTTTTATAAGTAATCTAGGTCATTAGTACTAGATACTTTCATAAGTAATCTATTTCAGGTATTTTAATGAATTCCACCCTCTTTAAACTTACTGTCTACCACCATGCTTGACATGCTTGACCCCAAATAAAAGGGACCTGGCTCCCAAGGCATTTATAGTTTGGAGGAGAAAACCAACGAACAAAGACTGAAATGTCACAGAACATTGTATTTTACACCCAAGATGGGATGCATAATGGGAACAGAGGAACTTGCCAGGGTAATGGGAAAGCTTTATGGAGTAAAGGAAGACAAAGGTCTTGAAGAATAAAAATAGCATGTGAAGCAAATTAAAATTGAAAAACAATTCCTTGTACCTTAAGAACAAAAATTGGTCTTTTACACCTGAGCAGAGTATATCATTCTGTACATGCTTCGGATTTCTTCAGCTATATAAAAACATACAATTTCAATTAGATATTTATCTATTTATGCAAACACAGTCACCCCATTTAGACTTAGAAGTTTGCTTCTTTGCAGAAAGCATGGACTGAAGTACCCGTGTTGTGCTTACAATGGCTCATGTCAAAGTCTAGCGGTATAGAATTGTGCCAAACATTCCCTGCAGGAGACCAACCAGTTGAGGTCAATTATCTTTAAACCTTATAAATGGTTTAGTCATAAGGGGTAGCATTGAAAGGCAGAGCAAAGAAGATATACACAGAAAGAATTAGTAGTAGCAGAGCTGAATCTGAAAAAGACCAGGAATAGATAAACCAAGTATAAGTCACATGGACACTGGATTTCAGTATTTCCCTCTATGGATAAGAATCTTAATATTACATGCTTCTAGCCTCTAAGAGTTAAATCTCTAAGCACCTTACTTTTAGAAACCTAGGAGCAGTTGAGTAGTACCCCCCAGTCATATTGCTCCCCATTTTCTAATTAAAAAAGAAAAAGAAAGAAATGGTTGAAGACTATTTCTGCACAAAGTACAATGACAAGGTAAGTGAAAGTTCTCACCATGGACAGCAGGGAGGCTGCAGACCAGCAGCATGAGAAGCAGAGATCCCAGGGTGAACCTCATTCTGCCTCAAGGTGGAGTTCAGACTTCAGCTCTGGGTCTAAACTGTGGGCTCTGAGCACAGGGACTTCTATTTATTTATGCCAGTGAGGGCCCTCCCACCACCTTTGTCTCCAATAGGTCAGCTGTGTCATCATTTTTAAAAGTCCCCAAATATTGCTGAGCTTGCTTTTTTTGAACTCCCCTTGCAAATTTTATGAATTGGCTTCAGAGCACTATAAGCATAATGAAATATTTCTTGATAATGTAGACTATAAATGTCAGGGATGCTGCAGAAATTTGAGGGTGGGAAGAGGGAAAAGACATCAGACTGGCAGTTGCACAGCACACTCTTTAGGATCATTATCTGTGATCGTAGTTTTGATTGCTACTTTCAGTGAAGGGTCAGAAGGCTTTCTCAATGAATTTGAGGAAATTAGGGACTCTGTCAAGCACATCCTTGTGCCCCTGTCCCTTGTAAGAAAGTCTATCCTTTGGCAGATGCTCAATAAATATTTGCAGATCTAACGAATGTTTCCTTATGTACAGATTTCTATGCTGACTTTATTTCATTATCTGAAATATATCATTACTTGTGTAATTTGACCATTGTGGAAGTCCTGGGCAGGGTATGTGTCTCCTCATGGTGTGCCTGTGTCTTGGTGAAGGAAGGGAGGCAACAGCTTTGAGGAAGAGAATCTTTCTGTCTCTGGTATGCAGGTTCTCGAGTTTGAAAGCCAGGTGTCAATGGTGGGTGTCATTAAAATTTCATCAGATGCTAAAGTCAATATGTGGGTTGGTCCCTTGGGAAGCAGATGCTAAGATGGATGTTAGAGTAAAAGAAGTTTCTTTTGTTGTTGTTTTGAAAATGACTCCTGTGATAGACAAAAGCGGGAGCGTAGGTAGGCAGGGAGAGCCTCAGACTGCCGGGCTGATCCAAAACAGTCTGCCACAAATTAATGGGGATATCTTGAGAAAAGAATGTCTACTAGAAGAGCCCCACCATGGGCAGAAGTATCCAGGTCCTACCACCCCTGCCGTGCTCAGTCATTGGAGTTTCTCAGAAACATCATGGTCTCTGGTAGAATGCTCAAGCAGATCCTGGGGATGTTAACAGCTGCAGGCTGTCAGCTAACTGTACTTCTCACGGCTGGCCAGCAAGTTATTTCTTTAAGGGAGATCTGATCAATGATCCTCTGTGGCTGTCACACAGGGTTATTAACCAGAGGTTAAGAGCGCAAACTATGGAGTCACCCAGTCAATGACTTTGGACAGGTCACTTAATTTATCTATGGCTTCTATTTACCAGTTTTCACTTGGGGATAATACTAATTTTAAAGGATTGTTTGGAGAATGAAATCATACAGTACATGTAGAGTTCTTGGTAGTGTGCCTGACACATGTAATATATTCAATAGATAGCCTTTTTGTGCATATTCATCCATCTATCCATCCATTATCAATTAGGTCTTGACTAATTTCTACTCTAAAACCCACATGTACACACTTCAAAGGTAAATATCCCTAGGATAAACCACCATCTGGCTTATCTTTTCAAAATCTGCTTGGTCTTCTTCATTGTTTCTCCTAAATCACGACTGCTCTTCTTTTTGCCTTCCCGTACTTTTGCTGACTCACAGACACAAACGCATGTACTTGTGCACACACACATCTAAACACCGTAATACACCAAAATTTGTTTCTTTTGAAAACAGCCAATTTCTGACCATGTCTCATTCATTTTACCCTTGTACAATTTGATCTTGGGATGCAAGTATAGCAGTTTTACATTTGCCTCTGTTATATGTACCATATATCTCCCTGTTAGAGCAAAAATGAGTAATGCTGACAATAACAGGAAGAACATAGCAACAAAGGTCCTGAAGAGGACTCTGAATAAATCTAGGAAATTCTACAGTTGGATCTTGTTAAAATAGGATCAGTGGGTAAAGGAGCTAATTCTAGAGCAATTCTAAAGTTTGATTTTGGTCCTTTTAATGCCCAGAATTCCAGATCTAGCTTATACTGACTAAAGGAGTCTTATATCTGCCTGCCCAAGATGGGACTGGAGGTTGGGCAGATTTCTGATAGCCAGATGATTCTAGAAGCATCAAGTATGACTCTCCATGATCTCATTAATAGCAGGGGGCAAAAATTGCAAAGAGTCTGAATCCAAGAAAAATATTTGAACCAATGGATTTAGGGCCCAAAGGGATTTTATTTTTAAAATAGCTCTTATAGATACCTTTGTTTAAAAACAAAAACTATGCGGTGCCTGGGTGGCTTAGTAGGTTTAACGTCTGCCTTTGGCTCAAGTTATGATTCCAGGGTCCTGGGATGAGTCCCCAAGTGGGGCTCCCCACTCAGGGGGGAATCTTCTCCCTTTTCCTCTGTCCTTCCCCCTCTCATTTTGCCCCTTTCCCTCTTACTGCTCCTGCTCTCACTGCTCCTGCTCCCCCTGCTTACTGCTCTCTCTCAAATAAATAAATAAAATCTTTTAAAAACCCCACAAATGTGATGAGCACTGATTGTTATACACAACTGATGAATTATTGAATACTACACCTGAAACTACTGATGTACTATGTGTTGGCTAAATGAATTTAAATAAAAAATAAAATCAAAGTAAAAAACATAAAAACATATGCCTTGATTTATAACCTGATTTTTATGATCAGATATATGAAAACAGGGAAAATTAGAAAATTATGAGGAGGGCTTTTCACCCTGACTTTGGAAATAAACTGGATTTTCTCCCCACACCAAGAAAAACTGAGTAGTCTTGAGCATCTTGGTACTCATGGTCCATGGACTAGCACCATCAGCTTCACCTGAGAGGTTGTTAAAAATGCAGAATATCAGGCCATTTTAACAGGATCCCTAGGTGATTTAAATGCACCTTAGTCTGAGAAGCACTGGTAGCAGAGCATGAGTCACATGCATATTCAAATTGTATTCAGAGAAATGTTTGCCCAAGTCATCTTCTCAGGGTTTTGATGTACAAATCCCTCAGAATGTACAGGACAAACGTGCCCATGGACAGCTAGCTGTAGACCAGTGATATCCATAAGAAAGACATTCTCAGGATATCAAAAAGTGAAATGTCACTAAAACAGAGAGGTAGCAAAACTGGCCAAAATATCTACCATTGTAGCTAGCCAATAGGCATTGAACAGAGGACCTATCATAAAGTTAAAAATGATTAAAGGATAAAATTCTTATAATTTTAAGTAGTTTGTAATATAATAGAAGATAAGACAAAGGCCACTCTGATCAAATTGAGAACATTTTCTTGCCATTAAAAACATTATTAAAAAAGCAACTCAAATTAAAAACAGAAACTTACTTCATTCCATTAACAAATGTTTTATCCTGCTGAAAATCTGATATCTATTTGCTTCCAACAGATTGCTGGCAGGTTCTGAAATCAGACTATCTGGGTTTGTATCCCCCTCCACTTACTTGCCCTATTATGATACTCAAGGCTCAGTTCTTCCTGCATTAATTGTATTAATTATTATAATATCTTCTTAGAGAGTTCTATAAGGAACATACTGCCAGGAAAGTGCTTTGCTCAGTATTTGGGCAAATAGCAAACACTAATAAATGTTAGATTTTTTTGACCTTTATGAAAATACAAAAATGTATTCGTTTTAAATTTTTCTATTTTAATTTAATTTAAGTTTATTTTATTGTGGTAAGAATGCAGCATGAGATCTACTCTTTTAACAAATTTTTAAGTGTACCATACAGTATGGTTGACTATAAGTACAATGTACAGCAGATCTTTGGATCTTATATATATATATATATATATATATATATATATATATTTTTTTTTTTTTAGGAGGTAACTTTGACTTAGTTTGTATGTCAAGCTCCTGATATGAATTAAAATGTCATTTAGGTTTCCATTGGACATTTATGATACCTTGAATTTAAAGGTCCCCTCTGTTCCTCTTTGAAACTGGTCACCCACACTTTCTTTTTTACCCACTTTCAACAAAAATATTGATCTATTTTCCCTAAGGAGGTACTCATGAAGGTTTGTATTAGTTACAAATGTACTGAAGTCTTACAAAGAAGGCGTCTTACCTTTCACCATCAATTTGATCTCAACTGAATTGCCTACAACAGTCTGTTGTTCACCAGATAATGACTTTAAGACCTGTATCTGTAGAAAAGGTATTTTTCAAACGTAGTTAAATTACCATTTCAAGTTTTGTTCGAGTTCAACTCAAAAATAGTGAATCCTGGACAAAGCTAAAATGAGCCCAAAACTCTTTTCCTACTATTAGGATGATGATTTGCCAGAAGATTGCTAGGTGGCAGCATTACTTACAAAAACAGCCTGCTGGAAGGGAAAGGCCTATCTTCAGGTAAAGACCATACATTGCTGATAAGAGGGCTGTGTTACATATTATTTCAACATTCAAATTAGATATTTGATTTGGTTTATTGCTTTTTAAAAATATATTGAGGTTTGAGATTTTTTGAGTAGGTTGAAATGTTAATCAAAGAGGAGAGAAAAACCCCTAAAAATCTGAAGTAATCTAACAAATTCTGAGCCAAATCCAACTTCCTGGCCCCAAAGTTTGCAAAATCAGATGCATCAGTTCCCTGGCAGGCAATTACATTAGACCTCAGGAGAGCTGGGTGCAAACTTTCTGCAGTTAGAAAGTTTTCAGAGAATAGTAAGGCTACCACACACCAATGTCAAAGTGTAGTTAAGTTTTTCAGCCTTTTAAAGCACAGAACAGGGGATCCCTGGGTGGCGCAGCGGTTTGGCGCCTGCCTTTGGCCCAGGGCGCAATCCTGGAGACCCGGGATCGAATCCCACATCAGGCTCCTGATGCATGGAGCCTGCTTCTCCCTCTGCCTGTGTCTCTGCCCCTCTCTCTCTCTGTGACTATCATAAATAAATAAATAAAAATTAAAAAAAAGAAATTAAAGCACAGAACAGTGAATATTAACGAATAGTTAGCTTCTTTCTTTCATTCAGATTCCATAATATACATATTATTTCATCATCTGCCTTTTCCACTG